AAATAACGGCCGATTCTCATATAACGGTAAATTTAAGAAATGCTTGAAACTTCAATATTTCGAAATTGAAGGACGCTAATTTACTCAAAATTGATACACCTCGGCTTACCATCTAGCGAAAGGTTTCGGAAGGGTGAAAAAACATATTATTTAATACTTGCGCCGGGTATTTAATGTTCGGCTCCGCCCGAACTTAGACTTTCTTACTTGTTTTTATTTCATTTTTTATACATACACCAATTAACCCTTCTGGCAACACTAGAATGTCATTTTTTCTCGCGTATGGAGAAAGCTGACCAAACGAGAACCACGCTTGCAGAAAAAACTATCAATTGATAAAAAATAACCAACTTGCAGTTAGCTTTTTTGCGGGATTTCGATAATTTTTTTTTCAATTAGCTGCGACAAACTAACTTAAAGTGAGTTGAAAAGTCATGCAGGAGTCGTGCAGATGTCGGAATTTGGTTTTCTTTAAACAATGTTCTGTTTAAATATGTAGGTATACTCTTAAAAATTTTACTTTGAATACATTTTTTCTACACTTCACAAATGCTTTTTCAAGTTCAATACGAATAAAATGAAACCGAATTTTATATTATCATTTTAAAGTTATGTCTGAGTAAAAAATTGAAAAAAATAAATATTATTTTTTTCTTAATGATATTTTATGTCCAAAAGTTACAAGTTAGTTGACACCTAATTCAAAGGTAACCACCCTTGACTATTTCGCGCCCATCGCCATACAAATATAGTTAGCTTTCCTCAAAGAAAATATAAAGATAATAGTGACGATTGGTTTCTTCCTAATCAACTTTAAGTTATCTTATAGTTAGATACATTTCCTATATGCGCACATATATATATTAGGGTGGCCCAAAATAAGTAAAGTACGAATTTTAATGCTCTCACCCCCTAGGATTGTTCTATATCGAATGAAAGTATACCCCTATTTTTTTATTTTGAAATCAAAAAATATTTAGAGGTCGCTCAAAGCGCTCAAAGTTNACTTTTCGTGGAAATGGTATGGAATTCTTGAAAATCAATATTTTTCGATCGGAAAACTCTGGTTCTCTTCAGGGGACTTCCAATAAAAATATCCAGTTGTTTATTTAGCCATTTTTTAGTACTAAAGATTTTTTATTTATCCCCCCATAGCATTTTCTGCAATTTTCTGGGGGTTTTGACTGACCTATAAAATATAGTTACTATGAAAAAATTGTTAAAAAAATAATGCTATACTATTTCAACGAAAAGTTCTTTTTCCCCATATAAAATATATGGAAAACTTTAAGCGCTTCGAGCGACCTCTAAATATTTTTTGATTTCAAAATAAAAAAATAAAGGTCTATTTTTTCGGCATGGGGGGGTGAGAGCATACAAATTCCGACTCTACTTTTTTACAGGCATTTTTGGACATGCATACATACATACAGTTTACTCTCAGGAAATATCTATGAAATTTAACAGATGGTGATTGCATTAAAATTAAGTGGTAATTTCAGGGCAAGTTTTCGAAATAATCGCCCCCAATTTATTTAGCCGAACTCGCCGCTATAGCTGCTTTGTCATCTAAAAAACTTTTTTCTCGGAGATTATGCTTGGCTAAGTGAATAAAACAAACCCAAAAATAATATTATTTTGTTATATTCCCAACGTCT